AACATATATTTGAAGCATAAATATTCTACCTAGTTCTAAGCCATAAATATAAATTCTGAGGAGGGAGGAATATATTTAAAAGAAATGAGAACTTAAGCCTTTATTGGAAAAATACCAATCTTAGGCATTTTGTGAAAAGCTATTCACAGCATTAACCTCAGTCACATGGGACATCTAGGGCCCAGGGAGGTCATGAGAACCTGACATAGAATATAGTGAGGTCACTTGTGAGGGTAATTCTTACAACCATGATAATTGAGAGTATTGGGGTAACTTCTAATGAACAAAATGGTGACTATTTCATGTTCATCCTCTATCCACCTAAAGCATTCCCTTCCGGAGCCAGCCTTCCCCCCCTTTCCCCCCCCCCCCCCGCCCCATTTAACATTACTTCCCGTAGCCAGGGGCAGGCAAAGAACCCTCTTCTATCTATCTCCCGAATTTTTCAACTCAATCATGTTTGACCCAAACCTTGATGAATCCTAAAAATTATCTTTAAAAAAACAAACCGGTCTTCATCAAGAGTCTGGAAATTAAGTCAGGATTACCTTGGATTACCCCTCCTCTCCTCACCGCTGCTCTCCTCACCCACATCTTCCAACAGGCCTTTGTCACTGAGGGAATATGAGTACAGAGAAGATGCAGAATTCAGCCCACTGTTAAGTGGAGGTGGTGGTGTATTGCAGCCCACTATGCATAATTTGCCAGGGAGAGTTTCCAAAGAGAAGCCTGAAATGAAGTGACTTGCAGGAATAAAAAACAAACAAACAAAAAAAGAATGTTAGGAATGGATAATAATCAGATGGTACCTTCCAAATACCATGGTGCATTATGAAAACAATGGCCTGTGTGGGGTGCCATCACCTGTAGTCCTCCCAGCTCCCAATTCCCACGGTGACACGAGACTCATGTGGGCAGTCTCTAGGACCTTCTGGCTCTGGAAACATCAGGCCTTGGTGACTCCAGAGACCCAGATTTTTTTCTAAGTCATCACTTTCTATGTCCTCTAAGAGGAGTTACAGTTGTAAGAGTTCCCAATGACATTAGGGCTCATACACTGGATTCCATTTGTTTGTTACTGTAACGGTTTATTTTTTCTCTCTATAACGGTTTGTTTTTTCTCTCATAAAATATCTATCAAACCCATCTCAAGGATTTCATGAAGAAAAATAACAAATGATAAATGCTTTGAGAGAAAAGGGAAAATTGTTACCCAAGTCTTAAGTAAAATTAGTGTTCTCAGTTAGGCCATTTAAAAAAATTTACTCTGCTCCTTTTCTTAACTGTAAGTGAAGAATAGTCTCTATTACTGAAAGATGGACAGCTCTCCAAGCACATTTTTTATATAGTCAAAGGTCATTTCCAAGCACGGAGGTGAGAGTTTGGGTGAATGGTACATTTGCATTTTCCTGGCAAACATAACTTCTACAGGTAGAACTTGGTACAAGCTCTTAATGAGGAGTGTAGGGGGATGTAGTTCACTCATCACCTTACACACACTTGTTTCTTTCCAAAATAATGGTTAAGCATCTTATAATAATGTACATCATTCAGTGACACCTAGAAAAACGAGCTCCTAATGTTTCTCATTATAGGATAAGGCTAAACCATTATAAAACAGACTTCTGACCTTCTTTGTTAGTTTGGAGTTCTTATGAATTAAGATTAGTATATTTGCTTCTCACCATGCTTGTTTTTATTTATTTATTTATTTATTTATTTATTTATTTATTTATTTTAGTATATTTTATTGATTTTTTAACAGAGAGGAAGAGAGAGGTATAGAAAGTTAGAAACATCGATGAAAGAGAAACATTAATCAGCTGCCTCTTGCACACCTCCTACTGGGGATGTGCCCACAACCAAGGTACATGCCCTTGACCAGAATTGAACCTGGGACTTTTCAGTCCACAGGCCGATGCTCTATCCACTGAGCCAATCCAGTTTCTGCACCATGTTTGTTTTTAATTTTAAAATGTTTTAGTACTTTTAAAAACTAATTATTTTGTTTCTTCAGCTTTGTGCCAATTCAAAATAATGTTTTCTCAGCCTCTTTCTCTCAAAACACTTGCCAAAGTGCATTAGAAATTATATCAGAACCATTTAGTTCTCTCATCTTCCTAATACAAATCCTCGCACAGTATATTGAAAAGAGTTTTCTAAACTCTATTAGACCTTTTCCAGTTATAAAGAACTCAGGACCTCACTTTATTTTTGTATCTCTTGCAAGAAAGCTCTTCTTCATACAAATATTCACCTGTCTATTTTGTCTCTTGTCTTTATCATCTAATTTCACTTTTGAAAGCTATCAACATCAGCACACAGCAACAATTCCCTCAGATATTGAAGCAACAATAAGCACCTCACTTTCTTTTTCCTCCCACAAAGTTTCCCCTGATTGCTTTCAGACATATTGCATCCTTGGAATTAAAATTTTAGAAAATAGTTAAAACTCAAATGAGGAATATTTTATTGCATTTCAAAAGTCTAGGACTTGGGTCAAAAGAATTGATGATGTCATGAAATCTGGCCACAGAGGTTGCTATGGGTAATCCAGAATTCTGCTGGTGACTCTGCAAATCATCATCGCTTTCTTTATCACTACAACATGACATTTATAAAAACTGATTTGATGACTTGTGTAAGCCAAAAATCCATGAAGGAAATATAGCTGACATAGCATTTAAGGATCCAGAATAAACATGGATCTCTTCCCATCCGACAATGCTAAGGAGACTGAATAAAAAGAGGATGTGCATATATCCTGAGAGACTTCAATATGAGATACCCCATCACCTGTGAGAGAGGAGATATTGTTTCTTCAATTAGAGTTTACGGGTGACTTCATAGTCATAAGCCATTTTAATTAGAACAATTTTGCCAAACTGAACTGGGAGAACAAATGGAGAGCAGTCTGGCCCATAAAAAATACGTACATGTAATTTTCTGGAATTACACAGGGCCATTCCCTGAGAGAAAAGCGATGACTCTAATCTTTAGAATCCAAATGAGCAGAATGTAAGCTTTCTTTGTAATGGAATTGTACTGTTGTTAGAACTGTATACATAAACATGGTCAACTTCCTCTAGTACCTAAAAAAGGAAGTCTAAACCAGGGCTCCCAAAGCAGACATGGACCATTCTTGGATGACAGCTCAGTATGTATCGTAAATGGCATCTATTACATTCCATATTATGTCATATTGGAAAAATACTAATGGTATTTTGAAAACTATCTCCAACTTCCCCAAAGTACAGTTAGGAAATCATGGCATTTTTTCCCCCTCTGTCCTGAGACTGATGCTGTTAGCTCTCTATGGGAGGATGGCATCACAGCACAGCTACCTCATGTCCCTCATCCACACACTCCACCCCACTTCCCAATTAAAATTTAAGAAATCTTTGGGGCTTCCTCAGCTATAGTAGTATTATTTCTAGTGCAATTTTCAATGCAGATATTTTATGGTAAGATCTGTTCAAAAGACCTATTAAAATACTGATTATTGTATATGTTTTCACCAGGTTATATGGTGATTATGAACCCATGGAAACAGCAAGTAAAATTACTTTTAGGTATCTAAAGTTATAGCTGACTTCACATGCATCCCATTTTATCCCCACTGAGACTCCTCTGATCAAATAATAAAGCTTTATTTTAATCAAATCAATAAAAAGTTATAAATAAAAATTCAATTCAATCTTTCTTAGACCAAATAGACACTGATTGGATACATGCAATTCAGTGCTGATTTCAGACTAATCTGCAAACTCTCTTGTGATTTCTTAAGATCTTTTGAAAAACCATTCTAATTAAACGTAATTATGAAGAGTGCAGGATTTGGAATCCTACAGAATTTGGGTTTGGATTTTGGACCTTCTGCTTACTTCTATTACTACTTATTATTTGTATAAAAAATATGAATAATAGTTACCTTCTGTGAGTGTACTGAGAATGGCATGTGGAAAAATGTATGTAACTTTCTTAAAGCAGAGTATGAAATTGCTAAATACTAGTTATTATTCTTGCTATTATAGTCAAGTATTTATAACCTCTTAGTGTACATTTAACTGTAAAACATTCACTTGTCTGGTGGACATAACTGACAGAAATCTCAACTGAGTATTAGTACCCTAGAAACAGGTACACAGAAGCCACTGGTGCCAAAAGTCTGGCAAATCCCTGAATCACCATGATCTCTACTGTAGACCATTATTTGAGTTTATGTTCAGCTTACTTCCTTCTATTAGAAAAAAGACATTTTTTTCAACATTTATTTTCCTAAATACCTATAAAAAAAACCCAAAGAGATAAACAAAGCCATAATCATTTCACATTTTATGAATTAAACAGGAAGAAATGTTCATGTGGATCATACAGTATCTCAAAGGTCCCATTTGTGGTTCTGATGAGTTTCCATCCTGTAGCATCACAGTGTGCTATGGCTGACCTAAGCTGGGTGTTTCCGGCTTTCAGAGGATGAGATGTTTAATGCATTTGATGTGAGTCATGAAAGTAAATATTCACTGCTACTAGTTCTGTACTTCTGGATCTGTGGGGCCGTTGTCGAGGACTCAATGCCATCTAGTGTCCTTTGGAAGAATAGCTGGGGGAATGCCTATTGGGAGAGCCCACTCACCAGGCACACTGCAGTAAATAACCATGTATGGGCACAGTCCGTGATTTCCTTCACTTTCTCTGTTACTGGATTTGGAAAACTTCAGGTCCTACTTACCTCCACTGTTTTTCAAATGAGTTACATCAAATCAGATGTCACATTACTTTTGTATTCTCTGAAGGGGTTAAGCAAATACCGCTTTGCTCTATTGCAGACTTGCGTTGCTACGTTTTTATCACTTGCAGCTGACATTGGGTAAATATGTCGGTTCGAAATGAGAATTTTCTTTCACAGTCCACTTAAACCACAGCATATTCTTCATTAGAGGCAGACTGTTGTCATTCCTCCCTATTTTTGATTCTTCTCTCTCTCTCCCTTTTTCCAGATTGTCTACAAAGCCTGGCTGTGTTCCCAGTACTTTGAAGTCGCACAGTTTAACTGCAGAAAGACAATTCCTTGCAAGCAATACTGTTTGGAAGTTCAGACGAGGTGTCCGTTTATATTGCCCGACAATGACGAAGTCATCTACGGGGGACTCTCCAGTTTCATCTGTACAGGTACAGTGGGCGCGGCAGGCTTCTGTCGCCCGGCCTCTCCTTACATAATGTTGGTTTGCTTTGTTGCTTCTTTCCACTGATGTAACCTTGAAGATATGGCTGGTAGTTTTCCACGCTGCCTTCATAGATGCTCCGAAGGGCCTGGGTTTGGAAAGGCCAGATTCATCTACAGTCTACCTGTGACCACAGCCATTAGCTTTGTCCAAGGATAATTCTGAGGGCAAAGTGTCAGCAACCATGAGATATACTTCAATTTGACTTAAACTAGGTTGGGTTCTGCCTACATTGCCTTTATATTTCCTAAGAACAGCTGACTTGATGAGGCTAATAAAATCATGTTTCTTCAAATTGGTAACAAGTCTATGTGCCAAGTTTGTTTTCTGAGAAGTGTTACCTTAAATAATTATCAAGAGCATAAAGCAATGTCCACCTCAGTTATCCGTGTGTGTGTGTGTGTGTGTGTGTGTGTGTGTTAGAGCCACACAATGATGGCCAGATATAATTTTATCTTATATTTCCCATGAACAGTGTTTACTTCTTTAAGCAGAGGATTCAGCCTGGGCGAAACACCGGTATCAGCATTCAATTTCTGTATACTTTATAAGCATTGCATAATGTAGACAGAATAAGATGCCAAGGATAAACATAATAGCTGTTTTCTGAAATCAGTGGTGAGGGATGGGGGAGAACAAGACAGCCTGCCTGGTGCCTGACCTGCAGAGCTTTGCCTTGTGTCCTCTTAGTAAGACGGTGCTGGGCAGCATCCTTGTAATTAGATGATTAGCTTGCAACATGACACATTTTCAAGTTTTAGGACTAAAACACACCATCATAGGTACTGAGAAACACAAAATCCCTCTTCCAGACTTTATGAAACCCCTCTAAGACAGAGCGACAAATTGAAATGCTCAACAAAACATCAAATTATTTCTATATCAATATTTACATGCCTATCTATTAACCATACTTTTCTAAGTGATAAACCATCAAGAAATAGTTCACCGAAGTTCTCCAGTAAGAACCTGCTTAAGCACTGGATGAGAATTTCTTTGCCCCATGTTGTGGGAAGAGCATTGAAGAAAGGTTAGGAGACAGCACTTTTGACCTATTTCTGCTGTGCACGCTCTCTGAGGCACCATCTCCTCATTAGAAAATTAGTGATATTAACAGTTTTGATGCATGTTTGCTATAAATATTACAATAGGCCATAGCTATTGTCCATGAGAAAGTGATTTGTGAAATGTAAACTGATTTGCCAAAATTGTTATTGTTCTGATTTGACACTGAGATCATCTTTCATGTAGTTTCTGATAGATGACAAAAGGAAAGCGGGGGGGGGGGGGGGGGGGGAAATGGAAGGAAAGAAGAGATGGAGAGAGGGAGGAAGGAAGAAAGGGAGGGAAGGCAGAGGGAAGAAGGATATTAATATCTTCTTTCTTTGAATCTGAACCAAAATTCACTAGACACAGGGTATCAATTCACTTGACTTTTCACACAAAATTTTCAATAAAGGCTCATTAAGTTAAGGCCTTCAATTCAATGATAATTTTAGGACTTTGGAGAAACTCATGATCATAGGTTTGCTTATTCACATGCAAATAGATTATTTTTTCTAGTGAAGGTCAGGAGCTTTCACAGGGTTCTCAAATTAGAATCAGGCTTCAAATGAAGTCTTTATCATCTGCTTCCTGATCTTTTATCTGTTGGTGTGAATCTGAAATACAGGTTTGAATGTTCAGTGACTTTCCTTGTATGCTTTCAAGGCCATCAGAAAGCCAAAGATGAGATTTAATCTCTTTCTGCACAACATGAGCAGAAAGCCCATCTTATATTTCTAATTGTTTTTGGATTTTGTAAAATCACCTTTCCTAGCCATAGCTACATCCCATCTTTTTTCCAAGACAGGAAAGATATTTGTCATTGGGCCCAGAAGGAAATGCCATTGACATGGGAAGCTATCAGGGAGCATCTTCTCACTGAATAAGTGAGACTCTTGCTCTCCTTCCACTGCACACTGCAGTCAGTTGGGCTCAAGTTCCTTTTGTTACTAAACTTCTCAACAATATACAGAATAAATTCTGAAGTTATTTAATCCTGAAGTTCTGTGAAAGTTTTCAGCAATAAAAATACTACTTTTCAGATTGATCCTCTTTTCTAAGGTGTGACTAAGGTCTCTTGGAAGGATTGTTCTCTATTTTGATAAACTAGCATCCATCACTTTCCACCTTAGGTCTCAGGATGAGGATCTCTCAAACAGGACCCAAAATAGGCTCTGATTGGGAAAAAGTTACCCAGAGAATGTTCTCAAGGATCACTGGCTAAATCTATGAAGCCAAGGGACTGGTCACATTTCTAGGGAAACTAGTGAGGCTTTTATATTTGTTCCAAATATTATCCCACAAGTTTTGGAGGTTCATTTCTTATAGATAGACACAAAGATCCAAATAACTAGCCTTTTATATAAGTTTGGAGTGATGGTGAGTCATCTCAGATGACTTTATGCATTTTGAGTGAAATGTCTTCCATACTCAGGAATAATTAGACCAAATATAGTAGAGAAATGGGAGTATTTTTTCCCTAGTTTCCCAATTGGCTGCAGACAACCTAAAGCCACCTGGAATGGTAGGCTCATAGCAAATTTTCAGGTGCACAAGCAATAGCAGATGTTGGACTTCCTTCTCATTGCAAAAAGGTGTAATGACAGTCACTAATCACATTCCATTAAAAGGAATTCACCAACTAGGTTGGTCTTAATCTTGCCTCCAACAATCTCTCCTTTAAAAAATTAATAAACGATATTATTTTCATTCTATATAATAAAAAATATAATCATTGATCACCAAGAGTTGAAAAAATAGTTTTCTTTAAATTCAACATGTTTAATTATACTTATTTTCCTATTATGTATTGGAAATACATCCAATTCACAGCTTCCTGAAGGATAGAAATCTCCTCTAAGAGTCAACTCAAGAAAGCATTCAGTAAGCATATAACTCCATTTGGCTTGTTGCCAGAATTTGTCCAAATGAGGGTCAATTTTGCTCAAGGCGCTTCTCCAAGATGACAAACTAGTGGTGTGGTGATGACTTTTTCTTAGAGGTCTCTGCCTGCAGCCTTTTAAAGATGTGGAATTATAGGGTGTCAGTTCTTCCTTTCCTATGGGTTTTTACTAGATAAATATACTGATGCTTAGGGATTATCTGACACAGGAAAAGTGGCTCTCAGCCCTTGGAATCAATGAGCCAATTAGAAGATTCAGAGCAGACAATATTTCTTTAAATAATCTGGAGATGGTTATAATTGTGGTAACAGTTATCAGACTCAATATTTAGTACGTCTCTTCTTTAAAATGCTTACATAACTTACCCATATCCTAAACTTGAATATTTTAAATGTTAATGTTTTGATCATCGGCTACTTCAAGTGTCTATGATCCTGTCTGTCCACAACGAGTGGAAAAACCTGAAATACTTGCGAATGCATGTCTATTGCTATACAATGCCTTCACTGAGGATGTTACAGAAGGTCATGACCAAATGTTCTACCCACAAGCCTAGATGACAAGAAAAGCCCTTTTTGTATGTTTAACACTGCTTTCGTTTTAAGAGATAAAGGAAAGACACTTTTGTCTGCGATCTCTCTTGGATTTCCTATTAAAGAATAAAGCATTAAAAAAAAAAAAAGAATAAAGCTGACTCATTGCTGAAGGAGTGTTTTAGGATTAATTAGGGAGGAACTCTGAGGCACTGTCAGGGGAACCTGTCACTTACTGTCAGTCATTATTGAGCTAAAGTTTTCCAAGGTGGGCTGTGTTCGCAAACTCAGTTTGCATAATGCACTCCTAGTTTAGAAACTTGGTTTCCTTATCTTTAAAGTGAGGGGGTGGAGTCGTCAGTGGATTCTGTGTTGTCAACCCATCACTGAGGTGATTACACTCCTTTCCTTGTTCTCCAGTACCCTAGAGGAATCCTTGATTGCTTACCTGCAATAGGGCACCAACATTAAGAAAACAGAAGTGGCGGAATATCACAGGCTGTGGGTGCTATGGTAACACACATTATGAAAATTACCATTTGATTGATAGGTAAAATGGAACTGGCATGATTTGCTGCTATATTTTTCATAGAAAAATTATTGAAAGAAAGAATAAAAGTTGGTCTGCTGGGGGTTACTTAAAATTGAAATAAAACATATTTTGATAATTTTATGTAAATTCGGCATTTCATTTTTTTTAGCTGTGACAAGAATAAGGTTATGTTTCTGCCTCTTGGGGAAAATACTGTGGGCTGTATTTTACTGACAAGCTTGGTAATGATATGCTGGAGGATGCACGCCCCCTGGTGACTGACATTCGCTACTGCAGAGGAATGTAAGGATATTATTGCCTACAGGCAAGAGAAATAAGTAATCCTTTGAGAGAAAAAAAAGAGAGAATAATTTGACATGCATATTGATCATATTAAAAAGGAAGATTTTAATGTTTAATGTTGAATAATTAATATGAGAGAATTCACAACTATGAAAGATCATTTCCAGAATGCATCATTAGGGAGTCATGATAAATAATTTTAAAAGATAGCATAAAATATTTTCTCATTAAAGAGATATTTTAATAGAAAAAAACTGCTACCTATAGATTTAAATTTGTACATTTATGCTATTTTTAATCTCTGTGTTTCCTCAGTGTGTGACTATGTTTTATTATTTTCTAAAATGAGGGGTGTTCTGAAGAAAGGTGTCATTTGCTGAAATGACCAATTATAGCACAATTTGAAGTCGTACAAAATACTTTCATAAATAAATTAAAGTTTTAGTCTAAAAGAAAAATGTGAAGGGAGATGGTATGATCAGAATAAAATAAAGAGACATTAAAAGAGGTTATTTTAAAAAGTGGACTGTAGTAACTTCAAGTATTTGGGACATCTTCACCCATTAAAATACTGAGGTTTATTCAAGTTCATATATTTAGACCTGATTTCAGCAAATTCATACTTGATATT